ATGAACAGGCGTGTCGCTTAACACCAGGGCAGGTACCCACGACTTGTTCGTCCTGTCAGTTTGGTATCATAAAAAAACATTTTACGAAACATTTCCGACGTTGACATGTGGAATGATAAAGCTTCTTTTATTTTTTTTCCATCCTCTAAGGATAAAGCATAGGGCGCCGAACGTCGAAAGCCATTGACAAACAGTTTTTTTTTCTTTATGTGAGTTTAGTAGCAGTAGAGCTCCTTGTGAAAGAGTTCTTCCAGAGAAGTACTGGGACCTTACCTATTTCTCTATTTCTACCGCCAAACAGTGATCATGGGACTTATCAACTTATGTCTCAGGGTGACGGGCACAGTGGCAGTGCCCATAAGATATTTGCGATTTAAGCTCTGAATGGCATTGCAACTTTCACTTGGTATTATTAAAAAAAACAGTTTCTCCTTGTTTCCTATTTCTATGTGAAAATGTTATACATATTTTTTATATTAAGAGGAGTCTCACGTATCTAAATATATTTTATTTCAACAATATATGCTTTTAAACTTGCCGATCGTGTCTGAAGGCCCTATAAACTCGTAGGTGTGAATTCCTTCTTGTCAATTTGCTAATTGACTCGTGGTATGCTATTCTCTAATTTTTTATGTACCCACTCCTTTTCGTTTCCAATGGCGAACCCATGCGTCAGCACACCTACCATCTGCCTACGAGGTGCCAATTACCTATAATTTATAAATTTTTATAAGAATAACAAAGACGCAATTATTTCATTGTATTGATCTGCGAAAATTATATGAAGGATCTTGCAGATTTTTAAAAGGTCAAAGATATTTAGAAAGAAATGCAGAGATCCAGTAGCAGTAGAGCTCAATATGGTACACGTCTTAAAATTAAAGTAATGCTACACATCTGTGCCATTTATTAGGGATAACAATAAGAGCAGAGGTAGGCCGAGGTTTCAATTATTAATTAGAATTGTTATTTATCAAATAATAATACAAAATAAAAAATATGTCATGTAATAAGAAATACGTCATATAGCTGAATTATGTCACTGAACCGTAATGAAACTAATTATGAATCATAATCAAGCTTGACTATTTTTTATGATACTAACTAATGGGTCGTGCGCTTGATAGTAAATTGCAGTGCCACTCAGAGCTTTAAATCGCAAAGATCTGAGGTGCACTGCATCTGCGCCCATCACACTTAAGTTGAAAAGTTCCATGTACTTCCCTGGATAAAGTCCTTCACAAGTAGCTCTACTGCTACTACTAAATCTGATATCGGGTTCTGTTTCGATCATTTTCATAATACTTATGACATAATAATCGTTTAGCAATTCAGTCGACATTCGATTTATTGGCCACAGTGGTTGACCTATTCACAATAAGTAGACACCTAATGTAAGGAACTGGAATCCACTTATGAAGCAACAAAGATAAAGCCATCGCTCAAAACAATAACCTACTTGTTGCGCAATTATGATAATTTCGACATGCAACCTCTCAAACGACGACTGCAGGCGACAATTATCCTATCGATTTGGGTGAGGGCCTACCGGTCGCATCTGAACAAAGACTAATTAACGTAACAGGTTTTCCAGGGCTATTGTAAAAGCCACATTTGGATCCTGTTTATCCAGAATTTCAGGATTCGTTAGACGGATAGAGAAGTCAAGGACTGTTCCTTACATTGTTATAGGGAATAAGTTGGTTCAGCTCAGCCACATCAGAGCTGTATAGTTTTATATATTTTTTTGTGAAATAGACAACCTCGCAGGACTATATTACTCCCATCATAAACCACAGCTTTTGTGCCACGATTTTTTATGAAACATAATAATTTTGCCAAAAATATACTTGTAAATTTTTGTTGTAACTATCTGACTTTTTTAGATTTTGTATTTATGATATATTATATTTTATATTTATGTTTGCTGTGCTGTCATTCATAAAAATAATTTTGGTAGGAAGTGCTTTCTTTTGCTATCGCACAGAGCTATGACCGTTTAGAAGTTTGGAGTCGGTTAGAAAAGATTTATGATAATTGCAACATTTATTCCAGTACATAGTACCAACACATAGATACTAATGTACAACCCACTTAAGCTGATTTGATTCAGTACATGTTGTTAATTATAGCTAATAATTGATTAGTTCATAGGTTCCCAAACTTTTTTACTTATATACAAGGAAATATTATATATATATTTGTATATATATACAAATATTCGTATATTTGTAGCGTAGTTTGTATTGATAATTCAGGTTTTTTTTTCATGCGGTAGCACCCCCTAGACAGCATCAACGCCCCCCAATTGCTTCCGAGGCCCCTACGAGCCTGCTTAGGACTCTTCAGCGTCTATTGGGAGCTGTAGGGACCACTTTGGGAAACTATGGTTTAGAGCGATCTATTTAAATATTCTTATTTTTGTACGAAAGTAAAATGTAATGAATTGTTAAAATTTATGGAACAAAAATTGTTATTTATAATATTAGTAATATAATCCTGCAAGGTTATTAATATTTTACAAATAAGCCTATATAGCGATAATTACCATCACGTAGCATCAATGTTGCGACAAGGTTAGGTACTTTAAGTACCCGAAATCTCGTAACATAAAATTCTTAGCAACAAATATTTATTTTATTTGACTCGCCTAATCAATTACTTATTTACTTATTACTTATTACTGCATAATGCATGAAGAATTGAATACTGCCCAAGTTAATTGGTTAATAGTTCACTGTCCGAGTATTTTTCCCTATACCTATTTTTTTTTTAATAATAAATAACGCACACACTCAACATAGCCCCGCACTAGGGAAACCCTGTGTCGCGGGTGCCATGGACACACACATAGACAACCACAAATTACACCCAAACTCACGAGAGAAATAATTGTAGGCCATACAACTATTTCTCTCGGCCCGGGAATCGAACCTGGGACCTCTGCGTGGCAGTCCGGCATGGTAACCGTTCGGCCACGGAGGCAGTTAAATTAAAAAGTTAAAAAGTTAATTTAGTGAAACAACCATCAGAGCGATGCCACATGGGCGTTGCGACGATGTTGCGTTGTGACTCTGCGTAGTACTACATATAAATAAGAACGACATGCCACACGATGTTATAAAATGGCATGCCACTTTAAGTAACATAGTACGTTGAAATATGTATAGAGTCGTTGCGACGACGCAACGCCCGTGTGGCTACGCTCTTAAATTAGCACGTTGATAGCGACTATGTATTGTTATCGGCACGGTGCTTAAAATGTTAGAGTTGGTTAATTGTTGCAAAACTTGCATTTTCCATTCAATATATTTTTGGTTTATCTTTCACGTCTTAGTTACAAAAACATTGTTCCAGAACTAAGTCTAAGAAAAAAAGAATGAATTCACGTAAATCAATCTAAAATTCTATCTCAAATCAAACACAACATACCTAAATAGAGGAAAAATCTCACTCTCCAAGATCATTCTTCGGACCTACCCATTTTGTCATACCATTTATTGGAACCCATATCACCGTTCTTAGAAAAACGCCAATTAATATATCAGGTTGCATGAAAAATGTATCACGATAATTAACTTATAATACTGTGTGAAAGATCTAATTGCGTGTCAAAAGACTCACAAGAAGTGCCACTTCCAGCTTAAGAACAATAGGCCGAGATCCCACAGCTCATTATTTGTATAACTTGGGTCTAGTTCAAGGTGTTACTACTAGACAGAGGAAGGATAGTGATTTAAGACTGGTTACACACGGCGACTTTTGACAGCGATGCAAACGCGCGTTCGTGAAACGCGCGATTGCATCACTACACTTGTGATTTATAGGGGATTGCATCGACGCAAACGCGCGACTGCATCGATACAAACGCGCGATTGCATCGCTTATAAACCACAAGTGCAGCATCGCTGCTTAAGTCGCCATGTGTAACCGCTCCAAAGAGATTGTTATGTCTAGTTGCTGGAGGAATCTTGCCTATACAATAATCAATGAGGTTATAATATTTCACGGTTCTGTTTGATACTAGCGTCTTTGCTTGAACATGTTGTGTGTAACTTTAACTTTTTTTTTAATACTAATTTGTTATGATCCAAAGAGCAAAATCATTTTTGCATGAAGAACTTAAAATCCTACTGTAAATAGCTGAGTTATTGCATGCTTATATTTGCAAAAAAGTAAAATTATGCAAATTCATACCTATGAATACCTTCTTATAACGTTTGAGCAAATTCATGCAAAATCTTTTGTATGAAAAGTCATGACTTTCATTATTTACCTATTGATCACTATCTTCTACTGTTGTACTAGCAGATTGATGTATATCTCCTACTCGCTTGTTTCGTATTAGGTACTAATATAAATACTATGAATACTAATATCAATTAAATTAGGCTACCCATGAACCTCATCCATTCATAATTCATTTTGTCAATATACACAATCACGATTTGCATAATCCGTGGTAATGTGGACAATGAGATCTCCATGCGTCGATATGACGTCAGAGCGTCGGGGGCGCGTCCGGTGTCGCAATGCAATGCGTTTGCGCCGACCTCTACTAACTGGAATCTAAATCCGATCGAATAAGATACAGCAATAGCGATGGAATCTGGCTGATTTATTGCACTAAATAACCCAATCTTGTCTTATTTATACCTAGAACCACCACAATTTTTGAGCAGTTTGTTCCTAGCCAGCGTGCAGTCGTCGAAACAAGCAATCGGATAAATAAACTGTACAGAAACTTCATTCAGTTTAATAGTCATTTTCAAGCAGTCCAGACGGAGTTAAACGTATACACCTTAACGTGCTATTCATATATTTTAGTACTTAAATAAAAATTTAATCTTATCTAGTTTTAGTATTTGGCTTCGCAAATTGTTTTTAAGTTGAAAAATCATTCTCCATATTTACAGTGTATTATGCGGTGTCCTCATTAACATGAAGGACAAAGACATTTTTTTTTTCATTGTTTATAATATCGCTTTGTATTGTTTTAGATGATGAGAAGAGATAGCTGAATGATCATGTGCAAGTTAAAGCAAACTCATCCGCAATTATTTTTGGGATGACACAGGTTGGTATTTATGTAGGCACTAAAATAAGTTGGTACTTAGGTACAAGTCACACCTGCTACGATTAAGTACATAACGATATTGTGTTCCGATAGCAAGATTTTTGCACACACACAATCGTAGTAATCTCATTAGGCGCTCAATACTAAAAATGCTACCATGATATGTCCAAGTATTTTATTGTTATGGTGGTGGTTCAGTGGCGAGTATGTAAACTCCACGGTAACATCGATCGTTTTAGGCTGCCGTGAACTGACGCAGCAATGTCTCAATCGGCACTTGGGCTGGGAGGAGAGCGACGATACTCTGTGCCCTCCAACCCGCTCACGCATGACCCGAGAGGCATGCACTCTGAGGATCTGCATGCGTGGTCTATATACAGGTAACACGACGTTCGTTATATCTTCCATTGCACAGAAAAGTTTCTAGAGAGATAATCGTGATTGATACAGTCAGTGTCGTACGAAAAATTTCCATGAAACAATTCAAATCTAAAGTGTGTGATGGTAATTATAAAATGGAATTACTTTTTTTCACACTGAACACTGGCATTCCCAAGGAACATACAAGTGTCTTGAGTCTTTGCACGCCTGGAAGGCTGCTTTTATCGTGTCTAACTGTAGTCATATTTATTGCAGACAAAATCTGAATTCGGACTTTACGGACAGTGCACTGGGCAGTACCGACAAAAGTCCATTGCCTTATGGGAACTTCCAGCTAAGAGATACCACCGTGCAATCGATACTGTCGCACCCTCGATATGGACCTAAGTAAGCTGAAATACCTTTTTTTATTGGTTTTGCTTTTTGCTATTTTAGCTATTTGTTTTGTAGCAAATCACTATTATCTTTTTGTTTTCTTAGTTTTACAAATAAATTACACTATCAGTACCTCCTTATGTAGGTAGTTCTTAGTAGCAGTAGAGCTTTTTATGAAATAGTTTGTCCGAAGAAGTACCGCTACCTTACCTATTTCTGCCGCCAAGCAGTTATGTGGTACATGGGACTTGTAAATTTATGTCTCTGGGTGAAGGAGGCAGTGGCAGTACCCCTCCGATCTTTGCGATCAAAAGCTCTGAGCGGAGCTATGGACAGGCGTGCCGCTTACCACCAGGCGCACGACTTGTTCGTCCCGTCACTTGGTACTATAAACTTGGTTCGAGTGTTGTCGGACGACTATTCCTTTTTCTTCATTTAATAAATGATCTGATATCGAAATTTTGTTACTAGGTCAGCGTTAGGCTCTAACATGTACACCTACCTAAAATTCGGATTGCCAAGAGTATTCCCACCGAATCACAACGGCTCACAGAGATCCGGCACGCCAAAACCTAAGACTTCCATTGGAAGCGGCATGAAACCAGTATCAAGGTAAGGAAAGCAAAACAAAAAGTTTATACACCTGTTTCTAAAAGGATTTCGTCTATTATAGTTAATTACTTACATAATGACTTGTCGGTTTTCACTAAATCTATTGTTTTCAGGATCCAGAGACAAAGTCGAGGCATACGAGAGACGTCTTCGGGGTACGATAGTTCAGACAACGAAACTTCCACCAATTATAAATATAGCCGAAAGTATCGATCCGATCCTGATTTTCGGATGCAGAACTTACATCCCTCCTATCAGGTAAATTATGTCACTTGTTACATAGAGTAATCAAAGGTTTTCTTTTTAATATAATAGATATACTTTTTCATGGCCAAATAGATGTAATTTCAATAAAATTCCAAAACAAGTTTGGAGCACTTGTGACTAACAAGGAATCACTGCAATAGCATATCTTACATGTGGTATCATCTATAGACACAAGTAGACACTATACTCGCGTCTATGCAGGACGTCATGAGTTCGACGTCCAAAAGCAGGAACTGTATCATTCGTCTTTACGAGCAGTTTAGTTTACTCTGCTTTACGGTGAAGGAAACCATCGTGAGGTAACCTGCACGTTAAAGAATGTTCACATACCTACATTTTCGAAGATGTAAAATCTCAATGAGTCAACAAAAGAAGAAAGGAAACATTATATGGGTTGATGATGATGGTGGATGGCATAATAATGTTTAATTCCAGCACAGCACAGGCGTGCCTCTAGTGGCGATGCAGCAAGCAGGCATTCGCGGTGAACCCCATTGGACCAACTCCAGGAACAAATCCGTCAGCGAGGCAAACTTGCTGGGCATAGATGCGCGTCCGCAACGAACATCACAGTCGCATCAGTACAACCGGCGAAATAGCGTAGCGGACTTTGTACCAGACCACGACCACCATAGGTAGACACACTGCGCAGGGTTTATCCCTTTTTTTATTATTTATCTCTTTATCCTGTTTACTTTACCTAATACCTATCATTTTAATTTGACTGTTACACAAAATTGTACCTAAGCATGAAAACAATAAAACGTAACGAAGACTAAAATACAATCTTATTATCGTATCGATGACATACACTACAAAGCTTGCCATCGTGGTGAAAGGATTTGCCAATCGGCTAACAGGTGCCTACAGATTTTTTGGAACTGCCTCCGTGGCCGAACGGTTACCATGCTGGACTACCACGCAGAGGTCCCAGGTTCGATTCCCGGGCCGGGAGAAATATTTGTATAGCCTACATTTATTTCTCTCCTGAGTTTGGGTGTAATTTATGGTTGTCTATAGGTGTGTCTATGGCACCCGCGACCCAGGGTTTCCTAATGCTATGTTGAGTGTGTGCGTTATAATATATATATAAAAAAAAAGATTTGCTCGATTTTATCGATCGCTACTGTCGATCGACAATGTCGATTGATAGATACGATCGAGCAAATCTCTAGGTACATTGTGTTGATCGCACGTAACAATCGACAATGTCCATCGTATTTTGCTACAAAACTACGATGTCTATCGTCAGCTTAGGTCGTTTTGTCTGATCGCAAGTGTCGATCGACAATGACCACCAACAGACATGGGTCTGTTGCTACTACATTTGCTCGTTTAGTTCGTTGAATGGTACCATAGATATTATATCTATGAATGGTACCTACGTGTTGTGCGGGGAGGCTCCTTTAGTGCGCCCCGTTTAGTTTTCAAAGCATTGCCTTCTATTTCTCAGTCAATTAAAATTTCGTACCGTTTTCATGATCTTTCAGTTACCTGATGCCGTCATCGCACCTAGGTGGCCGTATGTCAAAAACTGGAAGCCACATGTCTTTAGCGCAGTCCCGAAAACACTCCACGCTGCGACCCGGCGATCATCTAGACGGATACACGCATTCTGCTTACATCTATCCAAATTACTATGTAGGTTCTAGTTTTTGTTACTTCAATTATTACGACTTAATTTACATTGCAGCGGAACGAAATGGAAGCGAATTTTTGTAACCATAGCATGAATAATTTTTGTCAATTGTGTAACGTAGAAACAGATACTTGCTTACTTACTCTACTGGCTCAGGAACCCAAAATGTGATTTAATGGTTCCTAAGACAGTTTCCTTGTATTTTCTATGGTTTCGGACTTCCCTATACTGTCCCATTTAAAAAAAAAGAAATTCTGTAATCTTAGGATTGTTGTATACTAATTCCAGGTGAACAGTTTAGAGATCACGTCACCGGAAAACAAGTCGACGTTGCTGGTGTCAGGGTTGAGTTTCGAAGTGAAATCAGGGGAGATATTAGCAGTATTAGCCACTTCGCAGTACGAGGCAACTGGTTTACTGGATGTTTTAGCCGGAGTACGCAAGGTAAGAAACACGTACACTTATTAATAATATCCATTACAAGCGGTAAGCATATTGATTACAATTAAGTGTCAGACGCTTTTGCCCTAAAATATGTATGTAAATGTGAGAAACGGATAAATTACTCTTCGTTCAGGGTTCATTACGGTACTGAAAACCCAAATTTTTGCAAGCGATTGTGAGCTTAGTTGCAGCAAATATACGGTTCGCTTCTGTAATCTAAGTAAATATTCTATGAAATTACAGAAACTGAACGGCGATATAGTTCTGAACGGCCAGCCTGTCGCCTCTTCTACCCTCCGTAAAGTAGCTGCCTACGTCCGCAACGACACCTTCCTATGTCCTTCCATGACGGTGGAACATACTTTGCGGTTTCATGCAGCGTTGCGACGGCCTAGGCACAACCACTCGCAAGTCAAAATGGATGATAGGGACAGAGTGAGTATATATCTTTTTTTATGGTATATATATATGCCCTTCAATAAAAACAAAATGTAGAATACGTCATATATATCAGGGAGCCTACTTCCATTCTCCGTCCGACATCTGTTCGAAACAATCATAATCATATCATTTATTGCTTTATGTGGTACAAAAGGTCTAAAGCTATTATTACTTTCCAACATAAACCCTGTAAGGGCACTTTAATTAACTTACTTCACTATACTAATAGGTACACATAAATTCATGTCAACTTAACTTACTATACTATACACGTAATATTATGTACCTTTATTATCGAAATACTCCTTTAGGTCACAAAAACAGTTCGAGAGCAAGTAACTTTTCAGAGTATTTGCGAACACGTAATTATTTTCAATGTTTCTTATTCTAAGAAGTCTTTGGTTATGGACTCTTATTGCCATATTGTGTAAGACTCTAATTGCCGAAATAATTACTGTCAGTTAAGTAATACTCGACCAAATCAAGAAACAATGTCAAGTATGAAGCTTCATTTTCATCATGCGTCTTTCAATTTGATCGGGTATTATTTATTTGACAGTAATTATTTCGGACGAATGTCGGACGAAGAACGGGAGTAGGCCCCCTGTTGCCTTTTCAAAATGTGACGTGTTCTGCTCGTTGTCGGTACATATTTCGATATTCAAATATCGCACTCTCAGGGTCGTATTCCAGAACTCTACTCAATGCTCAAGTCGGGACTTGAGTATGATATCAAGCACTGGAAATCATACTCGAGAGCATTGAGTAGAGTTCGGGAATACGAACCTCAATGTATTAAAGCCACATCTGCAAAATGGCAACTTTTCAGAAGATAGGTTTAAAGCTTCCACGAGCGAAATTAGTCGATAACTTTTTTTATGCTTATAGGCGAGCTATAATTACACATATTTTATACATAATTTGTTTCATGTAGTTCATGCGATAAAAGCACTTTTGAAAACACGCTCCAATAGATGATGGCTTTAATGTACCAAGGGTATTTTATTGATCACGTTTATCTAAATAGAATAAAATAATTTATTATTCAGTCATTACTGTAAATAAAAAATATTACAATTTAAAATGCAATAATAAAGGATAACATCGCACTCTCAATAATGAAGCGAATAAACAGCAAAATAAAGTATGTTTTAGGACACTGACATAGATTTTAATTAAACAAATAACATACGTTGTACCAACCATACGTAAATATATTACATTCGTCGCCGTACTTTCACAAACTCGTATCTTAAAGCACAATGTTACTGAAATACAGAAAATGGATTGTACCTATATACAAATTTTGCAGGTTGATTTCACATCACATTTCCTTCATATTCACACACTGGCTTCTCGCTATTTTTAAAGTAACGCATCCAAATTAAAACACTTGGCAAATTAAAAATAAATAGAAAGTTTTGCCATCTCCTGAATAACCACACTTTATAAGATACGAGTTTGAGAAAGTAAGGCATACCGGTTGTGATACACCGAACACATCAAAATTTATTAGAAAAACGATGCATAGATTTAAATTCGTACTTCGTTTTAAAATTTATTTTGTCATCTTCCCAAAAATGTTACTTTTCAAATTCCGTCATTTCATTTTCGAAGGATATGCATTGACTTACAAATAAATGGACGACGGGTCTAATACAAAAACCACGAAAAAAATGTCCCAAGTCAACCTATTTAAACGTAGTGACATGTAAAGGAATATGAAAAAGCTAAAACGTTGAATTTAAATTGTAATGTCACCGCAGTACTGTCTAATTTTGCTTGCTTCGCTGTCAGTCAAACAAACGAAGACTAAAGCGTGAATGACGCTCTGTATACGATTTTAACGCCCTATAAGTTCGGACACTTTTTAGCGCGGACCCGACGTCCATATAATTGTAAGTCAATGAGGATATGATAACCTTAAATGATTAATAATTACCGCGAATATTAGATATTCTATTGAGAAATGTTCTTTAATTGTTCAAAATTTGCTTCTAGATTTTATGTTGCATTACATCCTAACTTTCCAGATTAACCTCCTGATTGAAGAATTAGGCCTTGAACAAGTCCGAGATACGAACGTAGGGCGATTAACAAGATCCGAAATCCGCAGACTCAATGTCGCATGTCAACTTTTGCTCGACATGGCTGTTTTAATACTGGACCAGCCTACGAAGGAGATGGACATTTTCGACACGTTTTTCCTTGTGGAGTATCTAAGAAACTGGGCCAGTACTGGTCGTGTTGTAATCATGTCATTGCATCCGCCTACGTATGAGATTTTTGCAATGCTTACTAAGGTAAGTTAATACAAATATCAATTTTAACTTTAAATGTTAAACTGCTAACAGATTGACGGCATGTTTGCAGTTAATACGTGAAGTCGTAATCACCTTGGCCGAGACCGCGACTGACATGAAGTTGATAAGTCGATCTCGGCTACATTTAGTAGGTTTCGACGGCATACAGTTAACAAGTCACAAAGGCTTCAAACTCCACTCTTTTTGCGTTGGGGGTTAAAAACATACCAATAACTTGAGGCAAAGATATTTTTTATATAGAGTTACACGCAAGTGACACTGACAAATTTATAATAGAAGCTGCAAGAAAATTCAAATACAGTGTTATAAGAATTCGAACTGACACTGGCAATGATTTTCCTTAAATGGAAAAAAAAATATTTTCTAATATTCTTATAAAACTGACACTGGCACAAGCCTAGTGACCGCCATAAACAAAATAATAACATACGAGTATATTTAAGAATTCTAATAACACTGTAACTTCATACTTACGGATTCCTTAAGCTGACACTGGCGAAAGCTTGAAGAAGAATATTGTATTTTTAACCATGCAATACAATGAAACAAAGGGTAAGTAATCACAAACAAATGTTAATATTGTAGGTGGTGCTAATATCTGCAGGCCGGACGATGTTTAGCGGGTACCGAAGAGACATGTTGCCATATTTTGCCTCCATCGACTACCCTTGTCCTGCCTTCAAGAACCCTTCGGATTACTACCGTAAGTGTCCCTCACGATTCTGCCATCGGCTAAAGTAGATGGACTCTAATGTGGATTTGATAAACTCGATGTTTCAGCGGTTAACGCTGTAGGGAGCGGGAACACGACCAGGATGTCCAATTTGTAAAAGGAACCTTTCTAAATTGGTTCTAGTTCTCGTTGTTTTAATTAGTGCCCCGGACCTAAATTTCGTTACTCTGGTAGGTACTTACAGTAACAACCATTTTCTAGTTTGAGACCAGGTCATGTGTGTCATTTTCTGGCACATTATTGTTTTAGGTATCTATTATTTTATATTCTCACCTCTCCCATCACTTTGATACATTTTGAGTTTTTAAATGGGAGCCGGCATTCCCCAGCAATAGCAAAGTCCGCTAGCGTCGGGGATTCAGTTTCAAGAACCGGCGAACGGTAGGTACGTGCCGTCTGAAGCAGCCCCGCTTTCTGCACTTGTGACATTATTAATATTATTATTGTCATTATAAGATAAACTTGTAATAGAAAAAATTGCTCTTAGAATAATATAAGTCACCACAAAAATGTTTGAAGACTTCTAATAGCAGCTTTAAGAGCAAACTTACGCAAATACAGTTTAAAAAATAACATTTTAGTTAGATATAGAAAGACTTGGACCTTTTCAGTCAGCACTAAGAACTTACTTATGTAGAAACGAAAAAATTGCATTATTTAACATTGTTAATACGGTTTTGACAGTGGACCTGGTAACACTGGACGACCTATCGGCAGCAGCGATGCTCGAGTCGTCAGGACGCATTGAAGCCCTAGCAGGCGTGTTCGCGGGAGCGCAGTCCCCGCCGGAGCCTCCACCACCTGTACCTTTGCCTGCACCGGTTACCAGACCGAATGCCTTCGTTCAAGCATTTGCACTTATTGAGTAAGTTTCTACGATTTGATAGAGTTGAAACGATCACGCACACATCAGCTTTTATGTACTTTTTCTTAAACCGATAGTCTTGAGACGGGTCGTATGCGACTTTTACACACTTATTTAAAGCGCTTTTACGATCCATCCGCCATTCATATAAAATATTTTTGAAATCGTTCAGCAAATTCTACGATAATCGTTGTGCACATAAATAGTGTACACAAACTATTCTGTGTACAAATGCAATACAACAACTAAATACAAGTTACAATATCTTAAATAAATTATTTAACTTAGAAATTAAGTAAGGTAGAATTTAAATCACGACTATGCCCATGTTTTCCCTATTGTTTTATGATTATATTGTTCATCCGAATGCGAATATATTGTACTGTAACTTTTAATAATAAAAAACATTTGAAAATAAAGTTTTACGTAAATATTTGGTAGGGCAACTTAATTAAATCTTTATTACTCTTTATTATTGTTGATAAATAATTGTTATAATAATCACAATTGCTTTTTTTCCAATTTGTAATAACCCTTGCATATCTTGCGTAAGTACCTAAACGGGTGGCGGTATCGTCGAACATCAAATACCATTGCGCTACTATAGATATTACAATACTGTGCTAGTGGATATGAAACCGGAGCTAAAAGTCTAGTATTTTTTCTAGCACCATTTTAAGAATAAGAATAAGGATATTTTATCGCGTAAGCACCGAAACACACATGATCATAAAATTAAAATACAATAGTATAAACTTTAAACTAAAATACAGTACTTATAACAAAAGTTAAAACATAATTATAATGATTAAAACAAAATAAAAAATTTAATAATAAATGCGTGTCGCGGCGCACGCAAACGGGATTTGCTCAGCTATTAGCTACAGGCCGATAGATTTTCAGCCTGCAGCGCTGGTTTTCAGCAAGCCCGATATGAGTGAAGCACGGACTCGAGCGCAAACAAAAACAAATACATGCATAACATGTGTGACGGCGGCTGCCCACCATCGTCAGGATCAGTCATGATGATTTATG